CTCCACCGCCGCCCCGTCCCTCCGCGCCACAGCTCCGATGTTCGTGCCCAAGCACGGGGCCGGGTCTGTCCGCGTTTCCACGGAGAGGTCTCCGTTGCCCAGGACGCACTAGGAGCCAGCCGGCCCGCGGCCTCCTATGCCGGGCTTCGTGTCCATTACACATTCTCCACCATAGAAACCAGTTTAGAAAATTTGAGAAACTCATTTGGGATGTTGGGACCCAGGCTGGCCTTCACCTCAGTGGTCTGCGGGCATCCACTGGCAGGACACCGTCTCGTTCTCCCCAGGCAACCTTCGTAGCCTTTCGTGGGTTAGGGCCAGTGTCTGGTGCTGGTCGACCCCTCCAGGGCGCCCAACACTTTCCTTGGGACTTGCCCAAAGCGTTGCTCCCTCAATCTCCTGCAGATACAATCTCCGGAGACTGTAGAAAACATTAACATACACGCATGACCGGGGCAAACCTGATAACGCCGCCGGCGTCCTGGAACTCAGTCTCGGGCACCGAGGGCAAATCCCATCCCTTCACTCCTGCGGAGCTCCAAGAGGAGTGAGAATAGCCTCACCCGTGAGAGGCTCTGCCTAGACCCAGGCTGGCCACGCCAACAGTCGGGACAGAGCCAGGTGGGCGTCATGGTCAGACCTGAGCCCTGCACCCCCAGGGAGCATGTCCTCGCCTAATGCGGCACAAAATACCGTTTTCAGGCACCGCAGCGGGTGACAGGGCTGGTCGACAGGTCAATTCGTCCTTGTGGTCCGCCCATAGACATGACCCATCGCTCTTGGCCCAGAACTGTCGTGTTTGTGCCCATGGGCAAGAGCCTCTCCACCTGTGTGTGTTTCCGACGTGAGCTGACATTTCTGCAGGGGAGCCCTGAGGATCAGGCCCGCGAAAGACAGCGGGTGGCCGGTGGCCTCCTACCCAGGGCTCCGTGTACTGCCCGGGCCAGTTCCCAGCCTGAAGCGAGACACGAAAATGTCGAGACTAGTCGAGTCCCGCTCTGTCTCGGGCACAGCGGCGAAATCTTATCTCTTCCCCATGTCCCCGCAGCTTCGGAGGGAGCAAACAAGTGTTATGGCGCGAACGATTCTGAGACCCACGGAGCCAATTGAGATTAGTTATAAGCCTTTATTAGCCGGCCGGCAACTGACTCTATACCACGCAGGGCTAGAGGAGATCAGCCCCGAGCTTTCAGAGGAGGCAGCTGCTAAAGCTTAAGGCCATATCCTGGTGGTCTCCTGAACAAGCCAGCAGATTACAGAAGCGGAAGTTGGCTGTTAGCATATCTTTGCCCGGAACAACACCCTTAATGAACAAGTACATGGATCACAGAAGTAGACATTGGCCATCTTCATATTTTATACAATACACTTCCTAAACCACACACAAGCAAGTAGGACAACTTCTGGTATCTAAAGATATTTCTTCCCTGTAGCTGACTTAGCTAGTTTGCTCACTTGAAAATCTTCTACCTTTAACAACGAGATCAACGCTGTCACCAGACGGCGCCTGACAACCCGTGCGAACACAGCGGGACGGATCCATGTCTGGGCTATCAGGACGCCCTACCTCGTCCCGGTCACCTCGGAGCGTGTTTCTCTGAGCCGAGCCGGCGGAGGGCGTCCCGCTCGTCCACCTCTGAACTCCTGGCTGTCACTGCCGATAGGCACAGATGGGAACCTTGGACATTTCGCTTCTCCAGTGCCTGCCGGGAAGGGGATAGACTCCCCAGGCGACTCCCGGGTGGCCACGTGGATGTGGAACACTCCCTGGAAGCGCTGGCAGGCTGTGCGCCGGCCAGGCTTCCCAGACAGACCGGCGCGGTCACCCAGCTCTTGCACGACTGGAACACACAAACTGTGCAAGTCTTCAGGGGACAGCGACGGACAAATCCTCTTTATTCTGAGATGGAAACCGGGTGCTAACACGGAAGTCGCACCCTGATAGTTTGTCCTAAATTTATTTTTTTAGGTTGCATTTTCTTTCCTTTCCAGAGTTAACCGCCTGCATCCTCACAGCCCACGAAGGAGAAGCTTCTGGTTTCCAGAGCCATAGAGGCGAGTGTCCTGAGGAACAAAGGTGAGTGGGCCACTACCCAGAATGCTCTGAAGGAAACCAGAGCGTCTCCCCCGCAAAAGGTGCCTATCTGGCACATTATTAGCAACCCCAGGCACTGAGGACACAGCAAGTGCAAGGCGGACATGCCGAACCGCTCATCTTCCTGAGAACGGGAGATCAAACTCCCATGGGATAGAGACCGTCCCTGGACCGGGAGGGAGGGAGACATTCTACATCACCGGAGACGGGACGCAGAGGCACAACTGACGGCTGAGCGATCCGTACCTGGAAACCTGTCAAACGCGCCCACATCTTCCTAATTACTTCTTCACCGCAAATGACCCACGGCGCAACCCTCCGAACCCTCCATCGTGTCGATTCTTCTCGAATCGACAGATCTTATCCATTCTTTGTCTCAAAGGTAAAGCTTCGTGCTCTGGTCACTTATTCACGTCGTAATTCTTTCGTGAAGGTTTCCGTGTGCGTGTGTAAACGTGTCGAAATCGAGTGCTCTTTTCCTGTTAATCTGCCTTAGGTCACTTTTGGTCTTAGGCGCCGCCAGAGACGTAAGAATAGAGAATGTTCCTCTCCTACAGCTGCTCGAGTGTCCAATAAGGAGGAAAATGGAAAGTGGGCATTAGACATTCACCACTTAAGTCATCGGTGTCCCTTGGGGAAAGAGAGTCATTTTTGGAGCGGTCTGGTGGGCGACAAGTATGTAGTGAAATATGGGGTGGATGGCGGGTGAAGACGTTGAAAGGATGCGTGTGGAAAGTACAGGTATTTACAGAAGTTTGCCGCTAAGGTGGCCCAGACAAATCGGGGTCCCGGCGATGAGCTATGTGATAGTGCTGGAATTTTGAAATATGTCTCCATTCTTCTCTGACTCATGCACCAGGAAATATTTTTTTCTTAATCTGGTTCAACAGATATAACTCTCTGGTTTCTGCATTCGGATTGATTATTAAATTGTTTTCACTTTTTTTAAGTAGGTGATTAATCAGGTAGAAAGCATTCTCCTAGAATCTGTGATAAAATGTTGAGTGACAACAGCTGCTTTTCTGGGGCTAAAAGTACAATTAGAAAATAAAAATTTTTACACACTTACAGAGAATTTATTTAAACTAATTATGCTTCACTACCTCATAGGGAGTTCTGTGTAAGTTTTGAGTAGATATATGGAAAGAAACATCAAATTTTGGAGAAAGTGTTGTGTCACTGTGTACTTGATTTCCACAAGGCTACCTGGAAAACATCATAAATTTTTAGAGGATATTACAGCCTAGCCGATTTCTGTAGGAAAAAAAAATCACCTGGAAAGATACCTGTATGTGAAGTCACATACAGTTTTCAGTGATATGAAGAAATCAATCTCGTTTGGAATGTAGAGAATGCGAAGACATGTGGCCAGAAAGGAAGCAATAAATATATGTAATGACTTGTTCTAAAATACATTATAGGACCCATTTTGAGTTCAAACTTTTGTCCTAGGAATAGTGACAGGCCCATTATGAGGTTTAGCCAGACGTCAAATTCAGCAGCCTTCTCTATTTAGTAAGTGTTCAATGGAAAAATGGATAAAGAAGATGCAGTATAGAGATATACAATAAAATTTACTCTGCCATGAGAAAGAGGGAAATCCTGCTACTTGTGACAACAAAAATGAATCTTGAGGGCATTATGCTAAGCAAAGTAAGTCAACGCTTTGTATTTAGAGGTGGAAAAGGTTTGTTGTCAGGAGTTACTTTGGGGGAATAATTACTGTCTTACCAATGGTTGGATATTGGTAAGGGACCATCACCCTGACACATTCCTCTTCATAGTTCCAGCTCTGTTAACTGTGATTCAACCTTTTCGGCTTCATTTTGAAAGATAGTCATTGTTTTCTCATAATTCCTTCAGGACCAAACGGTGGCCTTACCAAGTTGGTGATAGGGACTGAGTATAGTATTTGTGTCCCTTGTACTGTTTTGCCATGTCTGATATAGTAGAACAGAGTCTAGTATTGGAGGTGACATCCCCAGACACATAGATCTTACAAGCAGTACCGTGGACAGAGATGAGGAAATTTGATAAAACATCATTGGTGGTCTGATACTGAGGATGGGAAATTCTTGCCAATCCAATTTAGCGGGATTATTGCTACTGAGGATAAGGTTTAAAGTGTGGGATTAGTCAGTAAGCTTCGAAGAGTCTGAAATGTAGTCGAGGTAAAACGCTGTCCGATCCATCTTTGTACCCAACGGCATCCCTCTATATTTCTTGGTATGACACAATCTGGAGTGTTTTATCTCTTGTCCCTGACCAAAAATACATAAACTGATAACACTGCTGTTATGATATGCAGTGCATGCGTTTGCATTAACATAAGATGATGTTTACTGGCTTCTGCTAACGGGGAACATGTTTTGTGGCAGAATGACTCCACGGAATATGTGGATTTGGATTTGTAGCCTCTGGTAGCACGCTAAGCTACACACCCGTCTGAAATGAAGTCTCCCAAACTTGGGTGATCACCTACAGAGAGCGCTTTGCGCAAATATGAGTACCATCCCTTTAAAGAGGGGGAATCTGCCACTTCCCAACGCACTTCTGGGCTGAGCCTCGTCTTTTATGCCATAAGCCTTTCCCATCGGCAGTCTTTGGCTCTGAGTGGACTACATTACCCAGAATGCTCAGAGTCGAGCGGCAGCACCACTAGCCAGTAAGAACTTAGAAAAGAGGATGTTCTGCGTGTGGCCCGCCCCACGGGCCAGTACTTCCGGCTTCCTACTCATGGCGGCAGTATTGGCTGCTATGGGTTTTGTTCGCCCGGTGCCAGCTCCAGGGTTCTGGATCGAGACCGAGGTGACGAAACCAGAGAAGACGCGAGAGGCGTCGTGGTACCCGTTTCACAGGCGCGGGTGTGAGGCGCGGCGACGCAACCTGGGTGACCTTCGCCAGACCGAGTCGGGGACCACGGTGCCAGGCGCCCCCTCCGCTCCCGTTTCGCCCCAGAGTCCAATGGCGGCGGCCGCGCCGAGGGGCCCGGCTGAGGTGAATGCGTGTCTCCGGGGCCTCACCGCCCTGAGACCCTCGACCGTAAAGCCCCGCGTGCGGGCACTGCTCCGGTCCTGCAGCCCAGGCCCGGCGTCCGGGACCATGAGGCGTCGGTGGGCGACATCGAGGTGATCATCTGGGCAGCGGTGATCCCGAGCACGGAGGCCTTCATGTTAAACAGCTCCAGTCCCATCTTTCTGGCCGGACAGGGGTGCAGGGAGGCCCGAGCCCCCTGAAGTCCCCCGTGCCCTCGGTCCTCCAAGGCTTGCCTCGTTCCACATTCCCATGGCGGCCAAGTGCTGCTGGAACCACCGGGAAGCGGAGGGTATCCTAGCCCCTCACCCCTACCCACACGTTCTCGAGAATGCCTCTTGGGGCTCTTAAGCGCCATTTCCCCGGATTTCGTGTCTGGAGACCCTGGGGAAACCCCAAGCCCAGGGTCTGAAGTCCATGGCAAGGGTTACATGAAGTTTTTCCCATTTTTGTCAACCGATGTCAACAGGTGTGGAACGTTACTCCAGGAACGGGTTACAGGGTGTGCACATGCGTGAAGTAGAACTTTTTGAATGTTCAGGAAGCCACAGATCTGGTCTTCCCATGTGGTAACAAAGGGCACCGAAACAGGAGTTGGGATTGGAATGACAGCCTGGGAAGCAGTGTGTCTGTCCTGGCGTTAATGAAACAGTTGAGTTAGAGGAGGGATGTGATACTATCGAGGTCCTAACTGGCTCCATCTGGCTATAGTCTGATTATAGATGGTGGGGTTGAGAGGGATGAAGGAGGAAGATGGTGGAGGCTGCCGCCATACCTCAGTGAAAAGGTAATTGACCAGAGAGAGTGGTGGCATAAGAGATATGATTGAATTCTGGATGTGTGTTTAAATGGCAGCTCTTACTTTCCAGGGTGGCTGGTGAGGGAGTGAAGCGGAGGACTCGGGGATATTCCTGGGCTTTTCTTCTTAGCTGTGGGAATGGAAGCTCCATCATCTGAGATGAGGCAGGTGGTGGTAGGAATGATATTCATGGGAAGTATCTGGATCATCTGAGATTTGAGAATCACTAGGTGGAGGTATGAAGTGAGCAGTTACCCACACAAGTCTTGAAATCTGGGGAAGGATCAAGGATGGAGATATCGAAAATGTCATGGCTACTGTGTGGGCCAGGGTAAATGAATCGCTGGTAATGTTTAGGAGGAGCATTTTTCTAGTGACAGTGGTGAAGGTGTTAGGGTGCCAGGAATCGGTGGGAGATGGGGGTTAGGGGCTCGGGACTGTCTCTCCTGCTTGGATTCCTGGTTAATGGTTTTGGACTTCAAATAGAAGTGAAGGAGGCAAGTGGCCACGGATAGTGAGTGTCTGAGGTGCGGGATACTATGGCAGGTGACCCAGGTTTCCAGTGGAAGCGTAGATATGAGATGGGTGCAAAAGCTTGGGAGTGATTAAGTCAACATGATACTCAGGCCTGAGATCGTGCTTACTCACCACTTAGAACTCCACTAGGACTTTGTGAGGACTAGTGGGGACCGGGGTGTGTCATTCACCCTGGTGTCGGAAACCAGCCGACCAAGTCAAACCGGGTAGTGTGATGGGTGCAAAAGCTTAGGAGTGATTAAGTCAACCTGATACTCGGGCCTGAGATCGTGCTTATTCACCACTTAGAACTCCACTAGGACTTTGTGAGGATTAGTGGGGACTGGGGTGTGTCATTCAGCCTGGAGAATTAGGTCATCTGTGACTTGCAGGTGTGGTGACCGGTGTGAGTCATCCTGGAGTGGGCACCAGTGAGATGCATCTTTGAAGGAGGCTAACATGGACAGAGGAAGGTTGTGACTGCTGAAGGGACATCAAGTGCAGCACAAGCTGAAGAGGACCATGGGTATCTGAGATCCACATATAGTTCTGTGTTGCTAAGTCCGAGGCCAGGAATGGAGCCAGGCAGGGAGGCCTTCGTGGAAGGATTTGGGGCTGCCACTGCTATTCAAAACCCTGGCAGGTCTAGGGTAACATTGGATGCTGTTGCCCGGTTGTGTTAAGGCTAAACACTAAGGTCCAGGATTATGTGCTGCCTCTACATGTGATACCTGGAAGGACTCAAATGGCCTGAGTGCAAGTTCTCCCCATTTTTCTGCCACTGATAAAGTCTCCCGGTCAAACAACTTTCTCATCAAAGGGACCAGGTGCCATTTTTGCTTATCCATCTCTCTGGGTTTCTGTTCCCACCAGCCCAGACTTATTCAGACAAGCCAGTCATACTGTTTCCCAGGAACCAGGAGGAATCCCGTCCCCTTGATCTTATAAAGCTTGCATTCTACAGGTACCGGCTGTACACTCTTTTTCAGAGTGCAGACACACATGGCCCTGTATAGTCTGTGGTGTCCTCCTCCCAGGTTATGAATCTATGTGATTAATAAACTGCTGTCCATCTTCTCTGGACAGGGTCAGGCGTCATGGGTTTGGCCATCGCCATAACCCTAAGATGGGAATCCCACCCTCACCGGTGAGCTAAAGAGGAGGTAATTAAAATAGCAGTAACATGCAGGGAGGCCAGGGAGATTCCTTTGGCGATGAACCTAGACATGTGGCTGTGGGATCTCAGGAACATGTGTACTTCGGGAGTATGCCTGATGGCTCCAGGGCCCTGGTATCCAGACTTGCGTGACCTTGGCAAGTCTGACATGAGTCCGCGGAGCACTCCATACCAGGTTCACAACTTGGATATCCGCTTATCCACCTGCCTCTTCTTGGTTCTGACTGTCCCTGTGATCAGTGAGCCTGTGAGGATACAGTGGCGCCAATGGCAACAGGGCCTGGTTTGTCCTTTGAGTTGGGAAGATTGGGAGGAGGACGGGCATAGGGTGGATGTGGCAGGAAGAGATTGTGGGTTCTTAGGAGAGGAGCTTTTCCTGATTTTATCTGTCCCCATCATGCCAGGGCAGGGTGACCTTTGAAGATGTGACTGTGTACTTCTCCTCAGAGGAATGGGATCTCCTTGATGAGGCTCAGAGACGCCTGCACCAAGATGTGATGCTGGAGAACTGGGCACTTATAACCTCCTTGGGTAAGGTCTTCAGACTCACCCCTGTGCTGTGAGCTAGGCTCTGCCCTTCCCTTTTCTCCAGGAGCAGGTCTGTCCTCACAGCAGGAACGTGGCCTCTGCTTCCTTCCCTAGTTCCCTGGGTGGGCGCCGTGGTCGGCTGGGCTGAGGTGTGTGCACTGCCCTCTCCTTCCTTGGGCAGCCCCAACCCCTGCTGCCCTGTGGGTTTGCAAGGAAAGGAATCAGGGTCAGGAGTCTTCCAGTGAACATGATGCACACCACCTTACTTGCCTTCTCCTTGACCAGGTGACTTTGTCCAGATCCCAGGCACCTGTGATCCTAGGTCAGCTTCCTCCTTCTAGCTGACAGACATTTCCTCATCCCTGCCCATGCCAGCAATTGCTATCACTGCCATAGTTACTCCTTACACGGACTGTGGGCTGTTCTTCACAAGATCCTCTCCCAAAGTCCTCTGTGGTATATTGTTTTTGTTCCTGTGGCCTGTCATGTGCTGAGTTGTTCTGGGCTACTGCTGGCTGCTCATCTGTCCCGTCTTTCTCTTAGTACTTGTGTCATCACGGTGCCATGCATCTGCTTATCGAGGGATTTGGGTCAGGTTGGAAGGTAGTGGTTCACAGGTATACTGAATCCAGCCGTGGCAAGATGGGCTCAGAGGGAGCCTGTCCCTGAGGAGCGGCACGTGGACAAGGGCATGATGTCAGTACTGTGTTCAAATCATACCAGAAACCTCTTCTGTTTGACTAATAGTTCGATGTCAATGCCGACAGCCACACTTCATTTCTGTCTCTCCCTTTCTTGACAGTTTGTCAAATTGTCAACTCTACCACTTGTCACTCCTACTCTGACTTCCAGCCTGGGGTTAACCTCACATCTGAACTTTATGTCTCACCCGTTTAGCTCACCACTCCATTGGCACTGCTTTCCACATTGGCTCATGTGTGTCGTGTCCGAGGTGTGCACATCATCTGCAACAGTCCTTGATCACCAGCTGCCCCATCACAGTCATATCTTCTTGGGTCTGGACACACTTTTCTGCACTGCACTCACGTGTCAACAGCAGACAAGTTCCTTTGGAAAGTCATTAGTGCAGAAATGAATCATAGACCCTGTCTTCTCTGTCACATTGAACGGTGGTGTCCTTCACTTCATGAAGACTCCCCCATTCTGCGCTTTTGATAACGCACTCATGCTAGGCAGCCCCATTCTCCACCTGAACCAACTCCCTGATCTTGCACACAATCACTTGGATTATTGGTTCCTAGGTTCATTAGACATGGACTTGCATAGTAGCTGTTTCCTCTCACCACAGGTGACACGAACTTTACCAGCATTTCTTGCTTTCAGGTAGTTGCCATGGAGTCCAGGATGAGGAGGCACCTTCTGAGCAGAGCATTTCGGTGCAGAAATGAATTGTAGACCCTGTCTTCTCTGTCACGGTGAACAGTGGTGTCCTTCACTTCATGAATACTCCCCCATTCTGCGCTTTTGATAGCGCACTCATGCTAGGCAGCCCCATTCTCCACCTGAACCAACTCCCTGATCTCGCACACAATCACTTGGATTGGTTTCTGGGTTCGTTAGACGTGAACTTGCATAGTAGCTGTTTCCTCCCACCAAAGGCGACAAGAACTTTACCAGCATTTCTTGCTTTCAGGTAGTTGGCATGGAGCCCAGGATGAGGAGGCACCTTCTGAGCAGAGCATTTCTGTACGAGGAGGGTCGGGATCACGAGTCAGGACTCCCAAGGCAGGTGTGTCTCTCCAGAAGCCCTGGCCCTGTGAGATGTATGGTGTGGACTTGAGAGACATTTCGCACTTAACTAAGCACCAGGGAACACCTCATGGGCAGAAACTGTACAGGACTGGAGCATATGAAGGACAATTGTATTTCAGTGCAGAACTTCAGCATCAGAAGCAGCACACTGGAGAGAAATGCTTTGGAAGCAACACGGGCAAAGTATCATTCGTGAAGGATTGCACATTCTGTGTGTCTGGGAAGCCTCTATTCTGTGGAGAGGGTGTGAGGGACTTCTTGGCCATCTCAAGGGTTCTCCAGCATGAGGCAACACGCACCAGGGAGAAGTCAAACAGGAACACTGAGTGTGGGGCAGGCTGTCACAAGGGGGAAAATCATTATGACTCTGATGAAGGTACAAATGACTTCATTTGCAAACGCACACTTGTTCTGCACCTGAGAGTCCATACTAGAGAAAGATGCTACATGTGCAGTGAATGTGGAAAATCTTATAGCACGAGCTACAGCCTTAATGACCACTGGAGAGTTCACACTGGGGAAAAGCCCTATGAGTGTGAAAACTGTGGGAAGTCCTTTAGGCAAAGCTCCGGCCTTACTCATCACCGTCGAGTCCATTCTGGAGAAAAACCTTATGAGTGCGGCGAATGTGGGAAGTCCTTTAGCCAAAGCTCTAGTCTCATTAAACACCACAGAGTTCACACTGGAGAAAAGCCCTACGAGTGCAGCGAATGTGGGAAGTCCTTTAGCCACGTCTCGAGCCTCATTCAACACCAGAGAGGTCACACTGGTGAAAGGCCTTATGAGTGCAATGAATGTGGGAAGCCCTTTACCCACCAATCAGATCTGATTCGACACCAGAGAGTTCACACTGGAGAGAGACCTTATGTGTGTAGTGACTGTGGGAAGTCCTTTAGACAGTTCTTCACCCTCATTGGACACCGGAGTGTCCACACCGGAGAAAGGCCGTATGAGTGCAGTGTCTGTGGGAAAGGCTTTAGCCGTCAAGTTATCCTCACTGAACATCAGAGAGTTCACACCGGAGAAAGACCTTATCAGTGCAGCGAATGTGGAAAATCCTTTACCCGCAAATCTGATCTCCTTCAACATCTGAGAATTCATACTGGCACAAGACCTTATGAGTGCGGTGAATGTGGGAAGTCTTTCAGCCAGCATTCTGGCCTTACTCATCACCGTCGAATCCATTCTGGAGAAAAGGCTTATGAGTGTGGTGAATGTAGGAAACCCTTCATCTATAAATCTGATCTCCATCAACTGAGACCTTATGAGTGCAGTGAATGTGGGAAGTCTTTTAGCCAGCGGTCTGGCCTTACTCATCACCGTCGAGTCCATTCTGGAGAAAAGGCTTATGAGTGTGGTGAATGTAGGAAACCCTTCATCTATAAATCTGATCTCCATCAACACCAGAGAGTTCACGCTAAAGAAAGACATCATGTGTAGTGAATGCGGGAAGTCATTTGCCATAAATCTCACCTGAAACCCCAGCCAGTTCACACTGGAGAAAAGCCTTAAGTGTTCTGGGAACGTTTTCTTTTGTCATTCAGTATAACAGTACTGGAGGAGACACTGTAGAAGCCATTACCTGAATTTAAATCTCTTTGGTCCAGATATTCACTGTGCTAGATTCTGAGAAGTTTCAGGTACATGTGAGCTTTTAAGGAACTGCATTGCACTTTCTAACCTGCCCCTGGCTGTTACTAGGAGTGTGGTGAATGTAGGAAATCCTTTCGCCGAAGCTCTTGCCTCAATAAGCATCGGAGAGTTCACACTGGAGAAAAGCCCTATGTGTAGGGAATGTGGAAAGTCCTTTAGCCAAAGCTCTAGCCTCATTCAACACCAGAGAGGTCACACTGGAGAAAAGCCCTATGCATGCAATGAATGTGGGAAGTCCTTTACCTACAAATCCGATCTTATTCAGCATCAGAGAGTTCACACTGGAGAAAGACCGTAAGCGAATGTGGAAAATCCTTTACCCGCAAATCTGATCTCATTCAACACCTGAGAATTCATACTGGCACAAGGCCTTATGAGTGCAGTGAGTGTAAGAGATCCTTTAGCCAGCATTCTGGCCTTACTCATCACCGTCAAATCCATTCTGGAGAAAAGGCTTATGAGTGTGGTGAATGTAGGAAACCCTTCACCTATAAATCTGATCTTCATCAACACCAGATAGTTCACGCTAAAAAAAGACATCATGTGTAGTGAATGTGGGAAGTCATTTGCCATAAATCCAACCTTAAACCCCAGGCAGTTTACACTGGAGAAAAGCCTTAAGTGTTCTGGGAATGTTTTCTTCTGTCATTCAGTATAACATTACTAGAGGAGACACTGTAGAGGCCATTACCTGAATTAAAATCTCTTTTGTCCAGATATTTACTGTGCTAGATTCTGAGAAGTTTCAGGTACATGTGAGCTTTTAAGGAACTGCATTGCACTTTCTAACCTGCCCCTGGCTGTTACTAGATTTATGTCGCTGCCAGTTTCTGTGGACGAAGACATTTCACCTCTCCCACCTGGGTTAACTGCACAGTGCATCAGTCCCAGTGCTAATATACTCTGGGAACCTGACCTCTGTTCTCCCTTTTGCTTGAGGACATTATGAATACCCTGAGCCCTTGGCAGAATCCTCGTTCTTTTTTCTCTGACTTCAGGGGATGAACCTGACCCAGTTTTGGTCAGAGGACCCATCCTCAGCTAAAAAGGACTATCTCTTTCAAGGACATTGTTCTCAAGTTATACTAGTGATGAATTTTTCCAGGTTCCAATTCACCAACCTGGAAACTGCTCTTGTTTATGATCTTTTTGTAAAAGGTCTTTTTGTATTTTTAAATTTGGCAGTACTGCTCACTGCACAGGGTTATTTGAAAGTAGAATTGTTATCTCAGCACATAGAGGTGAACAGAGTTTTGTTGGGATCCCAACCTTTCTGCTTCAGAAGGGACACTATGGTGCAAGAAAGTAACTCATTGTCCAGTATTGGTTTATTCTGCATTGATTCCCAAAGCCTTGAAAGAAAGGATGCATGGCTCTGTGGTCCTCATAATCATGGTACCAGGTGAGAAGTTGAGACCTCCTTCCCCCAGCCTGTAAGGGAGTCATGTGCCATGATGTACACAACTTTCTGGGTTAGTGTCGTTGTAACAGAAAGGGTCAGGTGGAAACATAATTAGGACAGAAACACTGGCTTAATAAGGAGTGCAGGAGACTGCAGTATTTTTAGATGGGATGTGCCTCTTTTGAAAGTTCATCCACAGATGTCCCTCTGACTGGCTGGTGTGATAAGTATGTACAGAAATTCTCAAGACCTCCATAGCTCCTTCTTGTAGCTGAGGTCATTGGCAGGGAGAATAATTAAAGGTTTTGTGGATTCCCTTAGCCTTTGGGGTGTTCCCATCAAGGCCATCGCTCTAGAGGCAAGAAAACAAGACTAGAAGAATGATCCTGTAGTCCAGTGATGTGTCTTTTGTGACCCAG